CTTTACTGCAGCAGTTTATTATTTTTTTAAAAAATATTTATTTATTTAGGCTGCACCAGGTCTTAGTTGCAGCATGCGGGATCTTTAGTTGCAGCATGCAGACTCTTAGCTGTGGTATGCATGTGCGATCTAGTTCCCGGACCAGGTATAGAACCCAGGCCCCCTGCATTGGGAGCGCGAAGTCTTACCCACTGGATCACCAGGGAAGTCCCTACTGCAGCTGTTTAGATTATACCCTGATAAACACATGTCCCTGGGTGTTGCCTTTGGCTCCCATGTTGATTTCTGGCTAAGAATATTTGTTAGGCAAAGGTTTGGCTGCTAAAACAAAGGATAGAATAACAATGGCTTAAATGGTCTGAGCAAAAGAATTCCGGGGCATTTATGAGAGCTCTAGAGGACTGGGGAGCAGGGCTTCTGGAACTTTATTGTTTGTCATTATCAACATGACTTCCACCTTGTGGTTTGGGGTGGCTGTTCCAGCTTCCACCAGTCTGTCTGTATTCCAGCTAGCCAGTGGGAAGGGGAGAAGAAAAATTGAGGAGCACACCCCTTTCTCAAGAGCATACTCCATGGGTCCAGCAAAAAACTTGAGAGTTTTACTACTTAAGAAAGAAGGGAGGAACTTCCCCGGCAGTCCAGTGGTTAGGACTTCGCCTTCCAATGTAGGGCATGTGGGTTCGATCCCTGATCAGGGAGCTGGGATCCCACATACCTCGCGCCCAAAAAACCAAGACATAAAACAGAAGCAAGGGCTTCCCTGGTGGTGCAGTGGTTGAGAGTCTGCCTGCTAATGTAGGGGACACAGGTTCGTGCCCTGGTCCAGGAAGATCCCACATGCCATGGAGCGGCTGGGCCCGTGAGCCATGGCCACTGAGCCTGCATGTCCGGAGCCTGTGCTCCGCAACGGGAGAGGCCACAACAGTGAGAGGCCTGCGTACCACAAAACAAAACAAAAAGACAGAAGCGATATTGTGGCAAATTCAGTAAAGACTTTAGAAATGGTCCACATCAAAAAAATCTTAAAAAAAAAAAAAAGAAGGGAGAGTGGATTCTGACATGCTCTGCAGAGTTTATTTAACTCAACCAATATTGGGAGAAATTCATGAAAGAAAGGCCCTTTCTTTTCAAGGCAGCTATTACTCTCTGGATTGCCTGGCTGACCTCCTCTTACCTAGCTGAGTGCTGCAGGAGTCCAGGGACCAACCAATACGGACAACGTGTGGGTCGGGTTCTGTAGATGGAAGGTGCTTCACAGAGATTTCCTCATTGATCTGGGAACAGAGAACAAGAGGGCTCAGAAGTGATTCTCTGGAGGCTGATGGGTTATGAGGCAATACAGGAGGGAAGTGTGCAGATGTTAAAAAAAACAAACAGGCAAACAAACAAACAAACAAACAAAAAAAGCAGCAGGCTTTTGCTGCTGGGGAAAAGGTATCTACACTGCTCTGAAGGGCCTGTTGTACTGAAACCAGGGCCTCTAAAGGGCTTAAGAGAGTTCAGGGCCACAGAGAAGGGAATTTCAGAAAGTTATTTTTTAATTTTAACACTTGCTGCAGGGGAAACAGGGACTCTCATAACATTTGGTGTAGAAACATAAATTGGTACAATGTCTTTGGAGGGCAACTGAGCAGTCTTTATTAACTACAAATGCACATGCTCTATAACCAAGCAATTCAACTTCCAGTTTATCCTATAGATACATACACACAAAAATATTCAGTGAGGCAGTGTTTATGTTGAAAAGGAAGGGAGGGAGGGAGGGAGAAAGCAAGTAGAAACCACCTATAAGGCACTGGTCACATTATGGAACATCCCTGCCACGGAATATGATGCAGAGGTTAAAAAGAATGAGGCAGGGCTGATATACTGGGGTATGGAAAAATGTCCAAGACACAGTATTAAGTAAAAGCAGCAGAAAGAATAAAAGGTACCTTCTGGGGACTTCGCTGGTGGTTCAGTCGTTAAAAATCTGCCTGCCAATGCAGGGGACACGGGTTCAAGCCCTGGTCCAGGAAGATCCCACATGCCGCAGAGCAACTAAGCTCGTGCGCCACAACTACTGAGCCTGCCTTCTAGAGCCCGTGAGCCACAACTACCAAGCCTGCGTGCCACAACTACTGAAGCCCGTGTGCCTAGAGCCCATGCTCCACAACAAGAGAAGCCACTGAAATGAGAAGCCCACACACCGCAACGAAGAGTAGCCCCTGCTCGCCACAACTAGAGAAAACCTGTGCGCAGCAACGAAGACCCAGTGCAGCCAAAAATAAATAAATAAATAAATAAATAAATAAATAAATAAATAAATAAATAAATTTAAAAAACACACCACAGACTGGGTGGCTTAAACAGAAATTTATCTTCTCATAATTCTGGAGACTGGAAGGAGGAGATCAAGGTGCCACTGTGGTCAGTTTCTGGTAAGAGCTCTCTTCCTGGGTTGTAGGCAATCCTCTGCGTGGGGGCAGGCAGGATGTTATGTGTGTGGAGAGAGAGAGAGACAGGAAAGGAGGAAGGGAGAGAGCCAGAAAGAGGGAGGGAGAGAAATCTCTCTGGTATCTCTTAAAGGATACTTAGCCTGTTAGATCAGGACCCCACCCTTATGACCTCATTTAAGGTTAATTACCCCTTTACAGGCTGTGCTATCTCCAAATATAGTCACGTTGGGGGTTAGGTGTTCAACATACAAATTTGCGGGGGGGGGGGGATACAATTCAGTCCATAGCAGCAGCTTTAAGAGGCACCCAAAATTCAGCGGTTTAAATATTCAGTCAGGTGAGGATTCATTATGTCCTGATGACAACCCCCCAATCCTGGTTGCCATAGTGCCTTGCAAAATATGGCTATAAATCTCTCCTATTCTGGTGTGCATGCCTCTTTGCAATGTGACTTTGCCACTCCTCCCATCAAGAGGTAGTTTCCCCTAACCTTAAATCTGGGCTGTGACCAATAGGACATGGTGGAAGTGATGTCATGTGACTTCTGAGGACAGGCGTCAAGAGACCTTGCAGCTTATGCTTTGGATTTCTTAGAATGCTGTCCTGAGACTGCCATGCTGTGAGGGGCTATGGGTGATAGACCATGGGTCCTCCTGTTCCCACTGAACTCAGCCCTCAGCTGACTGTATCTGTGTGGGTGAGCCCAGCCCAGAACTGCCTGGCCAACCCACAGAATCATGAGAAAGAACAAATCATCTTTTTAAGCCCCTAAATTTGGGGTGGTATTTTTTTTTTCCTACAGCAGTGCTAATGCAGTGGATTAAAACAACAAAGGTTTATTTTTTGCTCATGTTGCATACCTGCTGAGGGTCAGCAAAGGTTCTGCTTTTGGCGTCACCCAGGGCTGATAGAGCAGCCACCATCTCAAACGTGCCATAATGAGG